TATGCTGAATTGACAGGTGTCAGTCAATCTGGTGGATACGTGAACGAAAGCGATCAACTAACGTTAATATAACACGTGTTGCATCCAAACATGGTACATTACTGTAACGATTCCGTTCTTTGTGCGCAGCAAATGCTGTTTGTTTGGTATCAATTGGTGTGAACGATTTTAAGGAATTAAATTCGGCTTGTAAACCTTCTATTTCTGCAACAATCTGACTGGTAATCATCAGCGAAAGTTCCTATCGAGTCCCAACCCTGATCAACCATTCAGAAGCTTTTATGAAACATTGGGTAGGGCCAATCGGTCATGATTTGATCACTAACTCGTGTTAGAAAGTCATCAAATTGGTGAAGATATACATAATCACAATTCGATGGTGCACTGCAAAATTTGCAGGATTCCTAGTGAGCAGGCATATCACTATTCTAAAGAGTTGAGAAAAAATTTCAGGCATTCAATGAAGTGAATGTTAATTTCAGTGAATTTTTTGCGCAACACAGATGATCGATTTGATGTCCACAATCGCCTAGTTGCGTTCCATTAATGTACAGTTAATAAGAAATGAATAAGAGAACTTGACGTACTTTTGGCAACGACTGAATTAGCGAATTTTTCGAAAGCCAACTCACTGGGCGCCTTCTTTCGTTTTCCTGCTTTTTCCGGTCGCATTTCATCATCTTCGACCGTTTCCATTGTAAGAATTGCTTCTTCTGTTGTGCCACCCTCCCCTTTTGCGCCCTTCTACAATATAAATTACAGAAATGTANAATAGCAGGGAAACAGTCAGCACTGGAATCAGCCATGTGATAACATTTGCGGCAAAACACAGTATGCAACTTTCGAACCTGTTGAGAGAATTCCTGACAGTTCTGAAAATCCTGATTGTCATTTGACAATGCAGAACAACAACTGAACAATGCGAATGAAGTGTTTCACGTTCAATTTTTTCTGAATTAGATCTGCATTCAGTATTTTACTTGATATCGATCGAGCTATACGCGCTGATCGTTTTTGCATACAGCATCAAAAAGATCACTCTTGATTTACACATGCGTATCAGTCAGAATCAATACCAATGAATACAAGTTACCCCTCGCTTCCTCTTCTTCGAGCTCTTCTTCCTGCCCATCGCCGCCCGTTAAACTTTACCAAATAAATAAACATCTGCCCACGATCTTATTTATAGGCACTGTTCATTGCTAAATAATGCTTGATTTTGTTTATATGATAATCAGAATAAGCAAATTCTTTATTCCATTCGCTCTCCAACACATTTATTTCTAATCAAGACTCGCATCATATCTTGATAATTTGACTATAAGCAGTGTGATGAGTTGACTTTTGTTGCACTGATTNTTACTTCCATCACAGTATAAATGCTATACCAAATTGCCACGAGCAATCAATCGGCAGAGAAAACTGTCAACTACAACGAATGGATAGGCGCAGCCATTCGCTCAAAATTCTCCATGTTTTCCCATTAACATTCCTAAGGGTTACCATTTTAACATCAACATTCAAAGTAATCGATAGTGATGGTAAGTAAATGCATTGAAACTCGATCGAATTCCAAAATTCGAAATCTCAGAAAATGAGCTCAGTAATCTCAGAATCTTAGAAATATCTTATGTCCGAAAGATGAATTCCGAAAATATTAAACTTCAGCTTAAATAATTTTGAAAAATCGTAAAAAGTTCGATTCGGTCGGATTTCGAGTGAATCCAAACTTCGTTTGTTGCATTACCATCATTAGCATATAATGATCGGAATAGTGGCACTGAGGCGCATACGTATAGTGTTTGTCACGGAACGGGGTCCCCGTCGGGGACCCCGACGGGGAGCGCTCCCCTGCGCAATTTACTCCCGACTTTTTCTCGGGGACCTCCCCCGTCAAGTTTCGCTCCCTGACGGGGAGGACGGAGAGCGCATGGCACTTTCGCAAACCTTCGCAAACAATCAGCTCTAAATAACGAAATACCGCTGCAACACTTCCAATATTGTCTTGTTGTTTGTTTTGAAATGTGATTATAAGGTGTTTGGCAAATCATCCACATTAACTCGTCAATCTTTGTTCTTCGATTGTTCAGTGATGTGGTTCCGAAAGGGTTGCTTGACCACCTGAGGATGAAGCACCCCTAGACAAAGGACGAAATACCA